CTGCCGCCGCGGTGGGCGTAGACAAAAGGCGGCGGCGGCACGCTGCCGTCGTTGCCGACCATCGAGTACAGCGCGGCGTAGTCGTGGAAGGCGCCGAACTTAAAAGGGATCCCGTTAAGCCGGACCTCGATCCCGGGGAACATCGCGGCGAGGTCCATCACCCGCTTGTGCAGGACCCGCGTCATATCGCGCGAGATCCGGCCGTCGGGGAAGCCGAAGTGGGCGTAGTCCGGGAGAAAGCGCACCGCCGTCCGGTTCGGCTGCCCCGCGTCGACGCTGGCGATGCGCGGGGCGGTCGCCTTCCGCATGTGGTCCGTCCACGTCATGCAGAACTCCCGCCCGTTCGTCCGGCAGGCCACGCTGAAGCGCTGGGAGAGGATGTTGGTGAGCTTGGAGCCGTAGCCGTGGCGCCCGGCGGTGGTGGAGGCGTCGGCGTTGTCGTAGTTGGAGCTCGTCAGCAGGTGGCCGAAGATCATCTCCGGGATGTACAACTTGTGCTCCTTGCTGCGGACGATGGGGATGCCGGAGCCGTTGTTCTCGATCGCGATCTCGCCGTTGTCGGCGATGTCGATGTTGATGTAGGTCATTCGCATCTTCCCCCGCGCGGCGCTGTTGTTGATGTTGTCCGAGGCATTTAGCAGGATCTCGTCGATGATCTTTAGCAGGCCTTGGTTCACCTGTAGGGTCTCCCACACCATCTTGCCTTTATCCGGGTCGAAGATGAACATCGACGTCGGCTGGGACTCGATGCTCCCCACATACATCTCCGGACGGAGAAGAATGTGGTCGATCGGACTGAGCTTCTTGTATTTGTCGGGGTCCGCCATGGTTCGCAAGATAAAGATACACTACCCCGGTAAGGTATAATATAATATTCTACCCTTCTATGGGGTATAGATCTATATAAACTATATAAATCTAACTAAAACAGTAAAACTAATAACGTTGGTTTAGGTCTATGCAAAATCTATGGTCGATTGTTAATCGTGGGACTGGGTCGGTTCGCTTTAGATAGAACAACTCGCACGAGAACTCTACCACACACACCCTACTCTGAATATCTGATTTTGGATTACGTCGCCCCTCTAATCGATCGGGCAGTCGAGATAAGAGTGAGCTAGCTTACCCCTTTGTGTATGGTAGATGTCGTTGCAATTAAGGCTTAAGAGAGGGAAAAATATTTTGTGCGAGAAAGAACAAATCCACTACCACACGGATGAATCCTCAAAAATTGAGCGATTCGGTTTATTAGCGCTCATGAAAAACACTCTTTATGGTGTCTTTTTTTTTTTCATGAAGTTATTTGAATGTGTTTCGTAGGATAACAAAGATGATAATCTATACAGATAAATGTATATATATATATATGGTAAATACGTGCAAAATATATTGAATCTTAGATACCGTAGTGCATTCAATTTTGGTGAAGTTATCGAGTGATAAAAACGCGAAATGATCCTCTGTAATCCCTTTTCCCTTCCTCTGTGTGTCCAAAAGTGCGCTGACTCGACAAGAAAAGTCGAGGGTCTGGTTGATTAATACCGTAATGACTGACAAGAGGAGGGGGGGGGGGGGGGGGAGGGGGGAAGGGAAGGGAAGGGAAGGGAAGGAGGAGAAAGTGAGGGTGAGATAAAGTGAGGGGGGGAAAGGGAGGGGAGGGAGGGGAGTGGGGGAGGAGGTGAACTGTTTTCTATAGTCAACAACTACCTTCTATTTTTTTTCACCGATCCACTTGTATAACACTAAACAAAGGCTATGAGGAAAAATAGCCCAAAATATCATATTATATCCCGTAACAAAGTAATAGAACAGACTCCGAACACTAAGCTGTTGAGGTGAAAAAAAGTATCACAACAAAAGAAAAACCTATACCAACAAAATGACATCGCGCATGTACATTTTTTCTCTCCCCAAATTAATATTTTCATAATATTTTCTCTACAATTTTCTTTATAATGAAGATATAAATACCCCCATCCTTTATGGAGCTGTGTATTTCACCAGTAATGCACGATTGTCCTACCAAAGATGCCGATATCCACATAAAATACAAAGCGCTGGATTACTAGCACCAATATTTTGAAAAAAAAAAATAGCAGTGATATACCAGAAGAAAAAAGACGTATCGTTTTAGTGGGAAAATATATATACTGAGGACACATTTATCATGGATACACCCATATACATATATATACATACACATATACATATACATATACATATATATATATATACCGATATATATATATATATATATACATGTATATCTGACATACCCAATGTGGTCCAATTGGAATCAATTGTTCGAAATCTTGAGCCTTGGGCTGTTATGCGCGACGTAGCGTGATCCCGGCTTCTCCAACGGGCGTGGGTGATTCAGCATAAGGTTTGGTATAAACCCACTATTGTTCGGGGTGTGATGCCAAAAGAGGCTGATGTACTGATCCCACTGGTCAAAGTGGAGGGGCGACTCGGTGAGCATCATCACGCCGTAATTATGGCCGGACTTCACACGACAGTTCAGAACGGTCGGGGGAACGTGCGTGATTTGCAGTATTTCCCGCAGGGCATCGTTTACAGTGGTTTTGGGGTTCACCGTGATGATAAAAGGGTGGCCGAAAATCAGCGGACAATCCTGCAGGTACTCACCATGGCAACACGCGATGCGCTGCTCGCCCGGCCGCAGCGCGGCGGCCGGCTGGAGGTCGAAGTCGTAGTCAAAGAGCAACGAACTCAGGCGAATCTCCTCGATTTTCCCGCCAGTGGGGTCGGCGAAGACGTTATTTTTGGTGTTGGCGGTCATGGGGATCTCGAGGATGTGTCGAATTAGTTTCTTGTCCCGGTCGTAGGCAAGAAGCACGTAGTGCGGTGCGATGAGGGTATCGGAGAGGGTCCGCCACGGGTTTTCCTCGATTTCGTAGGGCCGAATCGACTGCCGCACGGCCCTCACGAGGCCCTGGAGGGTTGTAAGCGGGGGCAAAGCGTAGCGCTCGCAGTGCAGGGCATGGCCGACCTTATCGCGCAAGGTCACCACCACCTCGGGGCTCCGCTCCACGACCGACCGCGGCTGCGCGAGGCGCTCATAAAACAACACCGGCCCCGCCGCGTAGCCGTCCAAAAGCAGCGCGTCGAGCGTGATCGAGGCGGCGCTCCGCACCGCGCGCTCCGCGGGCTTCGCCGTCGCCGGGCTCACATTTCGATAAAGGCGGATTTGGTTCGGGTTAAGCCCCTCCGCGCGGGCGATGCGATCACAGATGGTGCCGTAGCCCCAACACGTGCACATCGCGCAGACCGTCCCGCCCTGAACCCGCAAAAAGGACCTCCCCAGGACGGGAAGGGGGGTATTGTAGGGGTTGAGGTATAAATACGCCTCCTCCGGCTTCGCGGCGAGCACGAGCTGGGTGGGCGGCTGCGAGGACGTCGGGGTCAGGACGAGGCTGCCGCTGCTGGAGCCCACGCTCGGCTCGCGCTTCAGAACGATCGACATGGAGGAGGAAGGGAGGGCCGAGGCGCTGGAAAAGGCGGCCGCGCTGCCGGTGCTCGTCTCTGTCGCCTCCTCCTGCAGAAGCTTTTTCTGGATGACGGCCAATTCCCGGTGCTCCTTCAGGGCCTGGCGGAACTCCTCCTCGTTGGGGCAGACCTGCGAGACCACCTCGTGGACCTGCACGTCCACCATGAGCCGTAGGGAGCGATAGTAAGTCTCGACGTGGAAGTGCCGCATCACCGGGGGGATCTCGGCGCTCTGCAGGACGACCACCGACCCGTCCTGCAGGCGATTGGCGAAGAGGTCCGCCTTCACCGCCTCCAACGCCCGCACCACGACGCCTTTGGTTTCCTCGAAATAGCGAAATTTGGGCTGGCCGCCGTGGTGCGCCGGGGAGTAGGGGATGCCCAAAAGCGCAAAAAAAAGCGGCTCGCAGCTCTGCAGGCTCGCGGTCCGGTCGATCGGCGCCGACCCAAGGTAGCGAACCGTGCAGGAAGTGTGGTCGAAGAACTTCAAAAAAAGCAGCACGCGGTCCATCCCGATTTTGGCGAGCGTCGGCTTCGTCAGGGCGGCGGCCGGGGGAAGATCGGCGGGATCGCCTTCGAGGTGGACCTCCCGCACCGGCAGCACCTCGGTCGGGCTACAGCACTGAAATAGCAGCTCCTCGACCGGCTGAAGGTGGTCCAGAGGGACGTAGAGGCGATTTTCGTAAAGAGAACATTTGTAGATCTTCGGCGGCATCTCCTTATGCCCATGCGTGACGATGATCTGGACTTTGCAGGTGTGCATGTAAAGCGCATCCACCAGGACGGATAGCCCGCGCAGGACGGTGGGGGCCCGCAGGACCACACTGCACGCCCCTTTCGACACGTCGTAGGCGAATCGCTTTATGAGCGCGTGGACATCCGCCGCCGGCGGGAGGTAGTGGGCGATCTGCACCGGCTCCTGCAAATAAACGCAAATCGCCATTGGCTTTTCCTGATCATTCGGGGAAAGGTAGTTGGAAAGGCAAGTGGAGCGCCGAAGGCTCTCGTGGTGGGTGTCCATGGGCGTGCTGGGGTGAAAGCCGCGGTTGTTCGTCCACTGCCAGAGACGACAAGCCGTCGGCTTCAGACCGCGCCGCGCAAAAAACGGCTCCGCGGCAATTGCCTCGTAGACCGAAGTGAGCAGGGCGGTCTTTTTGAACTCGAGGACGCATGAGGTGAAGTTCTTCACGATACGGAGATCCCGCGCGAAGAGCTCGATCTGATGAACCGCGCAGTACTCCGCTAGGTTGGAATCGGTGATAACATACAGGGTCACCAGCTGCTTAAGTTCCTTTTCGAGCTTCGCGCAGCGCTCCTCCTCCTCCATCTCACTCCGCATGGCGTCTTTCACGCGCTGGGCGATGATGTCCGTCGGCGGAGAGGCTAGAATGGTCGGCGCATCGGCACGCCGTACGTAGGAGAGTATATAGGCGTTCGTATCATTCGAGGACCCCCCGCGGTAGAACCCACCCGATGTTTGATGGTAACCGCCATAATTAAAACTCACCGCGACCTCCTCCGCCACGGCGCTAACCTTCTCATCTTCAAACTCCAACCATCGCGTAAAGCACTGCTTGACAGGGTCCCATTCTCGGATATAGCAATAGTAGTGCCCGCTGCGGACCGTACCGCGATGCACAATAACCCCCTGCAGATCGTATATGGCGGGGGAATCCGTACTCAGGGCCTTGACGGCGGCGCCGCGCTTTGTCTGCGTGAAAAGCTCCATTTGCTCCTCGGGGGAGTATCCCCGCTCCAGCTCGGTTAGATCGAGCACAACCGGGAACTCCATCTGCGAATTCACCTTTTTCATTTCTAACGTCGGTGAGGTCAGGTCCATCGCGAAGCGCTTGAGATGGAACCAAATCACGTATGGAAATTTCTTAAATTCATAACCCTTTTCGGCGTCTTTGTAGACCGGCGCCTTCCCCTCTAGCTCTACTTTGTACTTATTATCCCCAACAAGTTGCTCGCGCGCCGTGAGAAACTTGATGCCGTCCAGAAGATTGGTGTGCTCCCCGAGGGGGATGTGGATGTCGTAGAAGATATCCTTGCTCCGCGATATGTAGGCTTTATCCAGAGTCTCCACAAATTGTTCACCGCGGCCCTCGAAAAGCTGGTTAATCGCGCCCTCCGTGACGGTGTCCTTCATTTTCTCCTCTAAGTTATCGCGCAGGAGTGTCGCCATTTCTTGAATGTCGTGCTGAACGAAAAGCTCCCGCTCCCCCCAGCCGAAGGAATCGGTGAGTTTTTTCGTCCGCGCCGGCGTAGTTCGCTCCTGCATTTGGAAGAAAAGCTCCTGAAGTGCCTTGTAGACGCTAATGCTGTTGTTGTTTTCGACCGGGATGCGATACACCGCGGAGCGTAGATAACCAATATGAAAGAGCATCTGCAAAAGAGAATTCAAATAGCACGTGCAGCCCTCGTTGATGATTCCCACATAGTCGATAGGATGCATCACCAAGGAGACATCGGTGCTCAACTTATGAGGGTAGGTCACCTCCGCATCCCTTTCTAAGGAATGGCGGGGAAGCCGATTAAGATCCAACTGAAACCTCGAATTATTGGGGTTGATGTGGCATTTCCATTGCCCATCCGCCTCCTCATTCTCACGCGTGTCTAAAGGGGAGCAGGTTTGAAGACCAATGGAGCAATTACTTTGATCCCCATCGTCGGCATGCTCGCTGTAGGATTTATGATCCTGCGAAAGGTATTTGCTATCGGAATCGTCTACGCGACTCGGTGATGGGTTGTGGCTATGGGAATCCGGGGTGAAGGACGACTGATTCATGGCGTCGGTACAATTGAGAGGTTCACACCGGCGGCAAAAAGACGGCCCGGTAAAGGACGCAATGACGTGGATCCGAACACGTGCAAATAAATAAAAACAAGTGCGCGGGAATAGATCCACGCTACACAGAAGAAAATAATAATAATATAATATAAAAAAAAGCAACAACGACTAAAACTACTCAATTTTTATTGGGTTCGGGTTTTTTTCGCTTAATGGTATTTTCCTTTACAGTGGTCCTACCGTGATGAATGACTATCTTAATGGGTATACAATAAGAAGGTGTTGTGAGATGGTGCCACTGAGGGAAGTGTGAGTTTTCACTAACTAATTTACTTTCGGTGTTGATTCTATATGGTAGTGATAAAGGGTATATCATATATACATATATATATATATATATTGTTGATGCCGAAAATTAAAAGGGTTCGTTAGGAGAGAAGGTAAATATACTTCCTAATAGGGTGCAAAGTAAGAAAATGTCACAATGTCTAAGCCACAGGATAAGTTTGAAAATACGCAACTTGCAATCTCTTGTGCAAAGAAAGATATTACGATACCAGAAAAAAAGTATTCCTACGGGAATGCATAGCAAATAACCTACATACTATATTTACTTCAGGGTCCCTCATCTTAAAGGGATTCTCGAAAGAAACGGAAATAAAAGGGACAAACGTGTGCCTTCTTTTGTTTGAAATATATAGAAAAAAAAACATATAAAATTTCTAAGCAATAATAATCGCGGATGGATTGTGCGGATACTTTTGACCCCAAGGAGTCGACAAAATGTACAGCATATGACTATCGATGAAATCAAAACAATAGATAAATTGAAGTATCAACATCATTTTATGATAATGCAAGAACGATATCCTATGCCATCGCGTCGCGTTGATGAAATAACCATTGCATCATAATTACTAGTAATGCCGATACGCTCCAAAAAAATACATAGCCATATCGCCAGCTTAACTCCGGCATGTTCACAAAGTTCATGCCATAGACACCGGACAAAAAGGTACATGGCGTAAAGAGAAGCGCAACCCGGGTCAACACCATCATCAGCTCGTTGGAGCGAAAAGATTGGAGAGAGATATGCAGATTGAGGAGCGTCTTGGCATCATCCCGCACCTCCAGAGCGCGACCCCGAAGCTCGATGCAGTTGCTGCACATCTGTTGAGCCATTTCCTTACTGCAGAGCTGCAGTTTGGTGAAGGCCTGGGCCAAAACTTCCTGCGTGATATTCAACATGCGATGCTGAACGCTTGTGCGGCGGTGTAAGTGATGTAGAAAGTTGTTTAATTCGCGTTTATCCACGCGGGAGTTGCCCTTGGGGTCGAGTAGCCTGCTCAAAAACGATGAGCGTGAGCCGTCCGTGAAGTGTTTGAGGATTCGAAGGTCGTTCATCGATTTTCGATTGCTGGAGTTTTTCGCCCCGTTTGCATTCGAGGCGTCATAAATTAAGAGCTTCCGCTCACACCTATCGAGCAGGTCCGCATGCACATCCAGACTAAGCTGGTACGTCCGCATCGCATCATCGATGATTTTGAGCAGGAACTCCTGGAAGGACACCGCGCTGGATTCCATCACCTTCCGCCACTGCCGCCGCAGCTCCGCCATACTCGTCGTATCCACGCGGTGGAGGGTAATCACAATATGCTGGCGGAGGTCCACAATAATAATCCATCGATTCGTCAGTTCCAGGATGGAGTCGGCGGAGATGCTAATCTCCTGCGTCGCGACGCGAAGGAGGAGCATAAACTGCCCGGGGTAATTCAGCGACTCCACCACCTGCGGGACCATCAAGTTATGCTCCCGACTGTCCAAAAAGGACTTGCAGATGTTGAACTTTTTCGTCAAAAAGCCCAGGACGCTGCGGTAGTGGTGCCGCGTCGGATCGCAGCCGGTGACGTCGACCCAATACCAATTCAGGCTCTGCTCCAGGTAGGACGACCGCCGTAGGGAACTTTTGCTGTGCGAAAAGGCCTCCCACAGGCGGGAGCCCATCAACGACGGGGGCTTCTCGGCAGCCCCCACGGCCCCAAAGTCGTCGGAACCGGGCAGGACGCTCGGCTGGATCTCGGGGTTCGGGTGGTGATGAAAAGGCGGGGTCGAGGAAACGCCCTTGTGGAGGAAAATCGGGTCGCGAATCTCCCCCTCGGTGAGTTCGATATCGCCAAAGGTGACCCCGGAGGCGCCGCGACTATTAAAGTATGTGACGTGGACCGCATCACTCGTCAGCAAGGGGCTTCGTCGGAGGTGGGGGAAGGTCTCCGCTTTTGCGCTCCCATCCATCCTGTAGCCCCCCCAGAAGGATTTTTTGAAGGTCCCGTACTTATTTTTGTCGCCCGGGATGGAGACGCCGTAGACCCCATCCATCCTATTCCGGGGCTTCTTTGGCGAGTTGGTGACGTGTTCGGCCCCCGCCAACAGTTGGCCCTTTTCGCCGCTCTTCAGCTCCTTTTCATCACATCGGTCGCAGGGCAGGGTGGGGCGGTGCTCGTGAAAGGACACCTGCACGTCCTCCGCGCCCATGTCGAAGCTGCCGTCATAGGTCGGGCTGAGGGCCTCGGCGGCCATGAGTTCGTGGTCGTTGACGTATAAATCCCGCCAAACCTCCGCCCGGGGGACGATAAAGCGGCTGCTGCCGCTGCTCGCGGACAACGAGGTCGAACTCCGGCTACTTCGCCCGCTTAGGGAAGTCCCGCGGGCGCTACTCCCGCTTTTGACATTGCTAGCGCTCCCGCCGGGCTTTTTGGGGCGACGGTAGTTGCTGCCCCGGTGCCGCTCCGCGCGCGCCCCCCCTCGCTCCCTCTCATCCACCGAAGATCCCCGCGAGTTTGAGGATAAATTGAGGATTTTCTGCTTCGTCTGGGTGAACTCCTGCGCGGTAAGACAGCCTTCCTGGTAGAGCTTCTGAAAGGCCTTGATGCTCTCCACAATTTGCATGGGCTGCTCGACGGGGGTGTGGAGCTTCGGCAGGGACAGCTTGTTGTCGCTCGCATTACTATGGCACCCCGCATCCGTATCAATCATACGCAGATCACCACCGCTGCCGTTCAGTGGGGGGCCGTTAGGAAAGCAATCGGACTCGCTTTCCCGTTTGGACATCCGTTTGCGTCTAGCTGATCAACAAGATCGGAACCTCGGGTGGTCGAGGTTATTTTATCCCCCTCCTTCCACTTTTAAACACCTTAGTTTACTGTATATAAAGTCGACCTCTGGATTTACTACTCCTTATAGAAATAAAAATGAAAAAAAAAGGGATATATACTTGATAGAGGAAAGTAAAAGTATTCACCATTCCATCGTCTTCACACTACCATTGATAAATTTCAAGATTGAGAATACTAATGAAATAAAATATCAATATACTTCAAAAAAAAAGCAACGGGGTAGAACAGCTAGTGGAACCCCTTAGTTTGGAGCCTCAATTTTTCAATACATCTCTTTTATCCCTTCTGTACACAAATTTTGACCAAACACTGTTTCTTTTGTCTTAGACTTGGGTGCTTTTTATATCCTCGGAGCCTACAAAGAACCATTCTCGTAGCCTGATAAGACAATAATATAATGAAATCTAGGCCCTTTCGTTGGGATCCAATCATTGTTACACCAAACTACAAAAAAAAGTAATTCAAAAAATTTGTTAAAGAGAAAAAAATTTTGAAATAGAATTACATCTTTCCGTTAAGCGCGAGTCTTTATCACGAAAAAGGGCGAACGCGTTGAGACCTCCAAGTGTGTGTAACCTTCCTGAGCGCCATAAGCCCCCCC